AATCAGATTCAGATTGGAACTTGATGGTGACCATTCCATTATCTTCTCTCCTGTAAACCTTTTATGCTCAAAAACTTTATGGGTAATGTTAAATACATGAGAAGCTGGTCATAAATACACACCTCACTTTGAAACTGCATGGCTGGGAGTTGTATCATTCAAAGAAAATCTTGTCCATGATATCACAATAGTTAGCACTGTTCAGTTAAACTCCTTTATTGACTTTGAATAGTCCAGTAATGGTTTGATCCTCACTTCCAGCTTATATCATCACACTGCCACCTCCTTGCTGCTTTCTTTTAGCCACATGTACATCTGCATTGGATAAAATCCATACTTTGGTCAATCCATCAAGGGTTGACTGAGATTTGTCCATAAAAATTACTTTAGAAAAGTCAATCTTCATGTATTTCTTGACCCAATTTTAATACTTTAAAATATATGCTTTACTGAGGGGAGATTACCTAAGAGATTTCTTGACAGTTCCCACTCTGAACCTTTTATCAATTCTGAACCTTTTATTCTTCTTGTCTCCATCAAATCCAGCCTATTTAAAGATATCAGCACTAAAGTTTTTTTGTTTTTTTTTTTTGCTTTAACTTGTGTTAGTTTACCTTCTCTTTGAGGAGACAAGTTTTTAAAGCCTTTTAGTTATCACCTTAGTTATATTTTCAACTGCCCTCTTTATCATTCAATAATCTCTCTAAAGCACCTTCGATGTCCGTAACATGAACATTCCCTCACTCAATAACTTTTTTTCTCTTTTTCAGCATCTGTTAGATAATTTCCTTTTGCAGTTTTTATAATAAACCCAATACTTTTAATAAAACATGTTGAAACTATATAAAAATTTAACTGAAGCATTCTTTAAATGTCTAAATTAAACATTTAAAATTTGACACAAATTTTTCAAAGGAATTTCAAATTATTGATATTTATACATTCTGCATAATTTCAGAGAAACTGTACATATGGATGTGTGTGGTGTAATGGATGGTTCAGGGATTTCCAACTTTCTTGCATCATTGACCACTTTCATATGGAAAAATTTTCAACTACCCACATATAGTGTAAATACTCAAAAGCATACCAAAATTCCGTGTTAAATGTTTGTTACTGGTTCATAAACAGACTTCATGATGAAGTAAAAGATACCAAAGGATGAGTAACAAATAAAGCTGATTTATGCAGTGGTTACTTCTACTACTATATTAAAGAACAAAAATAAAAAAAAACATGATCATGGAAAACTATATATATATACATATATATATATATATATATATATATATATATATATATATATATATATATATATTTTAGTTTTATGGTCAGGGTTAGGTTTTTGGTTAGGGTTAGCATTGCAAGTGTTAACAAAAATGAAACAATTTTTGTTCATAATTATAAAATTAAAAAGAATATACATTACTAGCAACTAATAAAAATTCAACAAATCTAATTTTGTTGTACTTGGTCCTCCCTTATTTGATTTGTATGTGAAAAGAAATGTTATTTCATCTGAAGAATTATTTGAATGTTAATAAACCTGAAAATTATCGAAAATACCAAAATATTTGTTGTTTGTAGGAATATTTATATCTTATCTAGGAATATGACCCAGTTATTCTCATTTAGCCTCATATTTTGGTTTCTTTTTGTATAGAGGATCTTTACATATCTCCATTGAATATTTTTTGTGTTGGGTGGGGGGTAGCTTATATTGAAATATCTTTATAATACTCAAAATCCTGTATCTCTTACCAAAATTTTCAATCTTCCAACATTTTCTCTTCAGTGGTTCATCACCCACTGAACAATTGTAAATCACTCACTGGTTGGCGATATTGCCCAGAATGGAAAATCCTGGGATGGTGACTTGGAATGAGAAATTGGAGAGCTGAGTTTAAATTCCAGTTGGGTTCATTACATTCACTTATATGCAAATACCCTTGTGAAAGGTATGAATCCCTCTCTTAATCTAAGCTGTTGGTTAAGCAGTAGGATTTGTATTTGGAAAAAACATTGTTATTCTCAAAGCATTCTTAATGGAATATTTACTCACAATAAAAAGAATTATTCTTACAAACTAAAATATATTTCAGCATTAAATAATCCATAAAAGATTGATAAGTCTTAAAAACAATAAAAAATAAAAATAAAATTATATATAATATATATATCACACATTATGGACAAAGTCTGACAATTATTTAAAGACATTTTTATGTTTAACATTGATTTTATTGATACAAGTATTTAAGTAAATCCTCTGTTTATAATAAACAGTATTAAATAACATTTACCGGCCTGAATGTCTGAGAAATTTTCATAGAAAATATTTGTCCTTTGACAGAATTCGAACCTGTATCCTATACGGAACCATCATATAGCCTGACATGCCTTACCTCTCAGCCACAAAGGATCATTCGGTTGGCAAGTTCGAATTTACTGTTTATAAACTTCAATCTTCCATGGATCTCTCACGTACATTCATAACTGCTCATAACGTATCAAATGCCAACTGAACGATGCTTTGTGGCTAAGAGGTAAGGCATGTCAGGCTATATGACGGTTCCATATATATACAGGTTCGAATCCTGTCGAAGGATGAATATTTTCTATGAAAATTTCTCAGACATTCAGGCCGGTAAATGTTATTTAATACTGTTTATTATAAACAGAGCATTTACTTAAATACTTGTATCAATAAAAACAATGTTAAACATAAAAATGTCTTTAAATATATATATATATATATATATATTATATTTTTATTATAAGAGATTATAATAAAAACATACACAAAAGCTTTCATGTTTCAATATTTTGATTGTACTTCTTCAGGCAATAGTAAATAACTGGTGATTAAATGTTTATAAGGAAATTTAAAAACAAAGTGTTATCTCTTTTCCAAAAGTTAAAATGACATAAAGTCAGAATTAAAAATAGACTTGTGGGTATGTCTTGATTAACCAATTATATGTCAGATCTTCACTAAATAGAAAAGTAAGACAAAAGTAATCACAATACATTTGTCACTGACATATTTTCTGTAATCATCAATGATGGCCTGTCTATGTTCAGGTTTATTGTGACATGAAAAAAATAACCCACCCACCTACACCCTCTTAGCTTACTTCAATTCTTATGTGCGATGACAAATAGAGGTGTCTGGATTTTCAGCCACATTCTCTTACACTGCAGCAATGTTTTCAGCTGAACAGCATAAATGAGTGCACAATGGTGGTTTCACATCTGCTACTGACCCAGTTTGTTTGAATTTGCAAACAATTTTTCCAACTGCACTCTCGGTTGGTCAATTATGTTGACCAAAAAACTCACAAATGCATGAAATGCATTTCTGTTTGAACGTTCATTTTCGTAATAGGCTTCGATAACTTTAACACATTGTTTGATTGTTAATCTTTCCATGGTTGAAATTGCCAAAGACATAAGTTGTTAAATTTGAAAGAAAAAAAATCACAAGATGCTTAAATTTAATTCACATTTAAAATTGGTCAAAGTTATTGGAACACTATATAAATAAAAAAATATTTCTTGAACCAAGCGAAACATCATTGCAAGAAGTTCATGTAAAATTAAATTCGCAGGAGAACACCGTTATGTTAATAAAATTTTTGAGAAGTGATATATTTCATAAATTGCTAAAAAAGAATGTTTGTGAACATAACCCAGGATATAACTAAGTATAAAATCTGAGGAAACATCTGATTTCATAAATAATATGACACTTTTTAATTTTATAATTTTTTCTTCTCATAATCAGTTATGTAGAATTTAAATTTAAAACAATCTAAAAATCATTTTGAACACACTTTAGTTATTTATATATAACAATGAATTCAGTATTTAACAATGTCCACTTTAGTTGTCCATAATTGTTAGTATTTTTGAGTTTTAGTTGTACTTTTTTATTTCCACTATATATTTTGAGTTAATTTGTTTAATTCAATCAAGAGTTTGTACATTTTTAAGGTGAATTTTACTTTAGAAAAATAGAGTTTTCGTTGACTATAAATAGAAAAAAATTCTTTGATGTGTGAATAGATATATTAATATTTATATTATTTCTTCAGGCTAATAAACAAGTATTAATCATGGTTGACTTTAAATCATATGAATAAATGAATTTGATTGAATCTCATGAAATTTAAAAATTTTCAAAGAATTGACTAAACAAGTGGCTTTGTAAGAAACCAGTTTTCACAATGTAAGAATGAATATCTTTTCAAATATTTGTATTGAGATTGTATTCGCTCTCTTATTGGCTTAGTTACTAATTAATGTAGATATTTTAAAAATAGTCTTGCAAGATTTACAAGAATAATCATGGTGCACTTCTAGATGCAGTCTCTTATGTTTAATTCTGAATAGGAGTTTTTATCAGATGTTATGGATGTGCAGCTGGTGTAATGGTTCAGAATGAGAAATCAAAGAGTTCAAATTCTAGTCCGAGTTATTAAAAATACTTAAATTACTTATGTGCAAATATCCTTGGGAAAGGTATGAATCCATCTCTTACCACAGATATGGGTTAAATAGTAGAACTTGTATCAAGAAAAATCACTGTTATTCTCAAACAAATTTGTTAATGCAATATTCACTCACAAAAAAGAATTGTTTTCATAATCCAAAATATGTTTTGGATTTAAATAAACCACACAGGGTTGATAAGCCATAAAAAAAATAATCAATTTTATCAGATGTTTCCCTATATTGCTAAGAGAAGTATGGCTGAGTATTAAGAGCCATGCTTTCAGTATTCACAAGTAAAATATCAAGAAGCCTTCTTTACAAAATAATAAAACATTTTTGTTTCCATTTAAACTTAAGAAAAAAAAATATTTTCCTCTTTTTTTTTCACATGAAAAAGTTATCTTTTATGTTTTGCAAGACAAGTGGCAAAAATTGTGTGATTAAAAGCATCAGTGACAAAAAGCTAGAGTAAAAAGCTATTGAGTGAGATTAAAGATTTTTGGCTAATATGACACTGGTGTTATGGGCAGAGAAGCAATGGAGAAAAAAATCAAGATAAGGAGGGGGGGGAAAGAAAAAGAAGATGGGGGAGGATGAATCAAATAAGAAAAAGAATCAAGATAAAAAGGGAGAAGTAAACCAGGAGGAAGAGAATGAAGATAGAGAGGGAGAAGCAAGAAAGAAAGAAGAGCAAGAGAATAAAGATGTGGGAAAAGCAAGGCAAGAGGAAGAGAATGAGTATGAGGGAGAAGCAAGAAAGGAGGAAGATAAAAAAGATAAGGAAGGAAAAGTAAGGAAGGAAGAAGAGAATGAAGGTAGGTGGGAAGGAAGCAGGAAAGTACAAAATAAATGGTTTGATAAGGGTTTAAATGAGGAAGAAATAAATAAAGTGAGGTTTTAAATGTGGAAGAAAGAAAGAAGTGTAGAGAGACAAGTGGGAAGAAGAGATACAAAGACATAAGGAAGGAAAAACTATTAAAAATCTATATGAAAGAAAGAACTAAATAAATAAAGTAAAAAAGCAAACAAACAAAGTCATAGAATATTCAAAAAATGAAAAAGAAATAAAAAATAAAAAGATAAGTCAATAAAAATGATTGTTGAAGAAGATAAATAAAAATAAGAAAAAGAGAAAAAAAAAATGAAGAAAATTCGATTTGACGAAAGAAAAAAAAGAAAGAGTGAAAAAAATAATGATAGCAAAGGAAAAGACAATGAAAGAAGGAAAAGAGATAAAGCTAAAAGGAAGAAAAAAGAAATAAAACAGTAAAATTATTAAAACAACCAAGATGAAATTGAATGAAAGAAGAAGGACTGGTTAAAAAAATAAAATGATAGAAAAGAAAGATTTATAAATCACAAAAAAATTACAGGTTAAGAAGCTGAAAATAGAAAAGCAAAGAAAATATATTGGGAGGACAAAGAATTTGCAAATGAGAAACAAAAGTTGAACAAGACAATAAAATACCAAAGAGAACATAGACAATTTGCAAGAGAGGAAGTACATCAAAAATAATAATAATAATAATAAGGATAATAATAATAAGACAATGGAAGGAAGAACAACGGTTCTATTCATAAATAGTATAATGATGGAAGATTTTTTTTTTTCTTCTCTGCAATGGGGAAGCTTTTTGCTGCTGTTGACAGTTAGAATCTATTTCTTTGTTGATTTATCATTTTTTTTAATTTTTTTTTCCCAAAGTTCTTCTTTTTATCTGTAGCATCATATCAGGATGAAATTTGCACTTGATGATCTGAATTTTTGATGCACTCAAAATAAAAACAAAAAACAAAACAAAAACATCAGTGTTATTTTTGAAAGCCTATAAGCTATAGATCCCATGGATAAACATTAGGATTTCAAGAAAAAGAGAAAGAATATCTCTAATCCTGCAAGTGTGATTAACCATTCTCTGTATATGTGTGTTTGTGTGATGGGGAAGGGTTGTAAGAAAGTGCTCCCATCCCCCAGAGTTTATATTTATGTTTTATTTTTATTTTATTTTACAAATATGACAGAAAATTTGTTCACAAAGATGGTGAGAAAATAGAATGGTCAATTTTGACTCAGATTAATTATTTTAGTTTTGCCTCTTTTCACATCTTATGGCTAATTGTAAAACATAAACTATAATCTGGAATTGGAATGAAGTGAGTGATGGTACCTGAATCCATCATAAAAAATTCAGAAAGTTTTACTGAAGCTTTAGACATTTCTGAATGTTTTGGATACCATTCATGTCATCCATTTTGAAAGTCTAGATCTGATGAGGATATTTAAGAGTACGACTCAAGAAAGACTGAAGAGGAGTAAACAGGAGTAGAGGTTTATCCCTAGTTTCCTGTTTGGGTCCATTCTAAAGTGTTTTCATTCTCTTTCACTCCCAGTAACCCAATGTGTCTTAGTGGCATTATTGCCTTGCTAGTGGTGAATTGATTTAAAAATAGGCATGTTCTTTCCTTTACATATCTGCTGTGTTCTTAAATGTCACTGAATTTACTCTGAGGGGTGGGGCATGTGCTTCCTGCATCCTAAATGGTATCTACATTTTATTTAACAAAATACAGGCAGCAAAATATTTTCAATTGTAAATATTTTAATATTCTTCACCAAATGATTTTTGTGCAAACTGTTTATTAATCAAAGACATCATACATAATTTTTAAATATAAAAGATTAAAATAAGCCTAAGTATTTATTGAAGTGCATTTTGAATAAAGAAAACAAGTGACCATTTAATTACAGATTCAATCAACAATGTATTTTCCCTGATTATCTATGACTTCCTTCCATCTATTAACAAGCTTACTAATTCCATTACTGTAAAATTCTTTTGGCTTTGATTCAAAGAACTCACAAATGTCAGTTTTAACCTCTTCCTGTGTTACAAAAGCTGTTTCTTCCAAATGATTCTGTAAGCTATGAACAAATGGTAGTCTGAAGGAGCAAGATCAGGAGATTAAGGTGGATGAGGAATTTTCTCCCAACCAAGTTCTTCGATCTTTTGTGACGTGATTCTTGCTGTGTGGGGTCACGCATTGTCCTGATGAAACATCACCTCTTTTTGATTCATTAGAGCATGTCTTTTATTCCTCAAAGCTTGGTTCAAATGCTCTAATTGCTGTATATTTGAGCATTAATTGTTGCATTAGGTGGTAAGAATTCAAAGTAGATTATTCCTTGGCGATCCCACCAGATTGAAAGAAGAACCCATGAAGTTCCCTTCTTGGCTGTGGCTGGGGTCCTTCCCCTTTACCAAGCCACTGTCTACAACACTTAACATTTCGATAAAAGGTCCATTTTTCGTCAACTGGTAAAGCAGGATTTTCTTCAAGTGCTGCTTCAAGAAGCTTTTCATCAAACTCAAATGGACGTCCAGTTCAATCTTCATCTTCAAGGGTGAAATCTCCACCTCTGAATTTTGCAAACCATCTTCTGCAAGTTCTTTCATTCACACATGCCTCCCCATAAACTGATTGCATGTTTCTAGCCATTTCGGCTGCTGAGTTTCATTTCTTGAACTCAGAAAGCATTAAGTGCCTAAAATGATTCGTGGGTACTTCCATGTTAGCAGGGTTTTAATTAAACAAAATTTAATTTTATTGTTCTCTGAAATAAAATTTGATCAGTTTAAATGCATCTAAACATAAAAATAATGTTCGGCTCCATTAGACATTATAAAATACTCTTTAAATTTCATTCATTTTAACATAAAGTTAAAATTCGGACAGAACTTATGGGATGACCTGATACTATACACTCAATGTTATTGATTTCGTTTTGTTTGGTTTGGTTTATGGCATATCAACCTCAATGGTTCATTTAATGCCAACAAAATGTTTATTACTGGTAATATTTTGTTTTATCAAAAATCTATTTCTGGTAATATTTTTCCTTCAAAATGTATTTCTAGTAATAATTTTTTTTCAAAAATGTATTGCTAGTAGTACTTATTTTTTAAAATCATTGTTGGTAATATTTTTTCAAAAATGTATTGCTGGCAATAGTTTTTTTTCTTCAAAACTTTATTGCTGCTAAGTATTTCTGGTATTAAAACCTATTTTTGCACTTTCATAGTGTTTTTACCCCAGTTTAACAGCTATTTGCCCATACCTGGAACCCTAACAGGTGCTACCACCCCAGGTCAGGGTAGACCTGGGAACATCAGCAATTAAGAGGTGGTTCCACACTCCTTAAAACCTCCTGATCAGAAGCCTTGTTGCTGGATGTAGTTTATCGTCTTACACAGGATGGGGATGTAGTTCATCGTCATACCCAGGACACAATGTTACTGGATGAGTTTGTGTTGCTCTAAGGGTGTAAAGGGAAGAAGTAAAAAGGGCATATTATTAAAATATGTAGGATAGATAATGGGTGACCCTCAACTTGAGGAGATTATGATTGTTGAAAAAGGGAAACATCCTCTCAGGAGTCAGTTCCATAGAGTAATATTTCTAGGGTGAAAGCTGTCTCAGTTAAACTTTCTTCTTACCAATGGAATAAAGATGGAATGAGGATAAGTAGACCCTGTTTATGTGTCATGGGGGTCCTAGCTGTGAAGGTCTGAACTGGTTGAACTAAGGAATGTAGCTCATCTGATAATTTGACATAGAAACAGCAATAGAATAGCAAAAATCTTTCTGAAGTACAAACTCTAACCTTGATTTCCTCTTCTGCTCAAATGAATATTATCAATATTTATTGACATTTTGTCTCTTATAATTCATATTGCCAAAAACTACAACATTAATACAAATTACAATAAAAGAAAGAAATTCTTATGTATATATATATATATATATATATAAAATGAGAGAAAGAACAAATGGAGTAAAATTCCACTGTCTATAGCATTTACTTTTAAAAAAGTGCTCAATATAAAGTAGAGCAAGATAATATTATTATTTTTATTATAAGAGATTGTAATAAAAACATGTTGAAATCTCTACCATGTTTTTATTATAATCTCTTATAATAAAAATATTGGGTTGGTGCATAATTATCAGGCGTTTTTGTCGGTAAGTTATTTGTTAATAAAAATTACTATTTTGCATACATTTTTTTAATAAAGATATTATTTTATTTTCAGGTTCTAAAACCGTGTGTTAGTAATCATATACTCCGGAATAATCATTTAAAAATGTTATTGTTGAATTTTTATGTTTCTTTTTTCATAATAACTATTGTTTAAAAACGCTTGATAATTATACACCAACCCAATAATATATATATATATATATATATATATATATATATATGTATATTTAGATATGAATAAAATATATATATAAAGACAATATAAATAAAATAAAAAAAGGAAAACTTTTTATACCAATGTGTTTCATTCATTGTGGAATCTCATAACTGCAAGAGTCGAGATTTTATTTGGTAATCTGTATCTATATAGAAGAAATATAAATATAAAATATTAAGTACATTATTTACATTATTCAGACTATTTCCTCATCTTTGTCATCATATTTATTGTAACGTTGTGGTTGTTGTACGCTTCGGCCTTCTTCAGGTGGTTGGAATGTCAAACTTAACCCTTTATTATGCTTACTGGGTTAGACTGTTCTAGTTCCTCAAGGACACATGACCCAGTGGATAAAGGCATTAGTTAGATCCAATGACAGGACCCAAAGTGTGTGAGTTCAATACCCAGTTAAGGCAGTGGAGAACCTTCAGAGGGAAATTAACAGGATATAACTGATAATTGACATCCATTAAACATGGCACATGGAACAAGAACAGTCTACCCAAGTGAGCGAAATAAAGGGTTAAATTTTGCATTCCAACCACCTGAAGAAGGCCGGAGCGTACAACAGCCGAAACATTGTAATAAATATGGCAACAAAGATGAGGACAATAGTCTGAATAATATAAATAATGTTTAAAATATTAAGTTTACAAATTTTGAATTGAAAATGCTCTAAAATATTTGTTTGGGTATCA